ATTTAAAAACGTGGAGAGAGAAATTGAGAGCTTAGCATAGTAGACGAATACTTAAGATAGAAATCGATAAAATTAGAAACAGTGAGATGGTGAGTGAGAGAAATCGGAAACTCAAATTAAAAAAAATTATGATAAATTATTTAATTTATTTAAAATAATTTTAAAGATACTTTTGTCAAATCATAACTAAATATGGTTAAAATAATTAAATTTATTTTGTTGATTATTTTTAAAATATCTTTATCAAAAAAAGTTATTTTTTATAATTTCCTCTTAACTTATTGAAGGATAACTTTTAATGCACTAGATTTTTTTTTAAAAAAATTAAATTTGATAAGTTACTTCAATATTTCAAACTTTATATTAAGACATAAATATTTTGAATTATGATATTGAATGAAATGGATAAAATTTAAATTCAGAGCTATTTGTGTAAAGAAAAAAACTCTAATTCATTGAATATATACAATGTTAGTTTAAAGCCTTTTTTTTGGTCAATTGAAGCCGCCCTATTACTGGGTATAATCTTTCTCGGAGTACAGTTAGAGCTTAAAATATGTAATTCTTAAAATCTACAAGTTTAAGAATTAACCAAATTTTCTTAGATTAAAAACGTTAGTGCCATTTAAAACTTTTTAACGAATTTTGTGCCTAGAAAAAGATAACTATATGTTTCATGAAACATAGAAAGATGGTCACAATTAGAGCCTCCAAACGTCGGCGTTTCTCTTTTACGAGGTTATATTTGGGGAAAGCCAACGGTTGCTTTTTCAAATTGGGATGTTCAGGATTTTAAGCTCCGGTACAGTGTGGTTACGATCCGCCTAGGTTAATGGCAAGGAGACGAAAACCAAACAGAAGGAAACCAATGGGGGAAAAGGAGGTGATAGAGATATCACCTTCATCGGCAGTTAAAGGTAAGTGGTTCAAAAACCTGAAACGTAAACAGGAGAAGGAAGAGGAGGATGGAAGTCCCCTGAGACCCATATTTTGTTTGAAGAAGAACATGGACATGAAGCGCATTGAGGAGATGGAGGATTGCTTTATTCTTGATTTCAACCCCTTCGATTCAATTGATATTGCCATGCTCTCCGCCACCAACGACGGCGATGATGTTGATCTCTCTGTCGTGGTTGAGAAGGGCCAGGTTTTTCTTTATTTCTTTTGTTACATGTTCTTCTTTAAATTCCCTTTCTGGCGAACATGGTTAGCTTAGTTGCTGAGGAAATTTACATTTATTAGAGTAAAACAGGGAGTTAAAAGTCGTTCAATTCGGTTCCGGTTGTTATTGCTATTTTACGATCCAAAACCCTAACGGCAAGGCTTATCTTTTGTCTTTCTTCTTGTATCTGTTTAGTTGGCTTGTAGAGATTATCCCCATTCAAGGCATCTGTGTCTGCAATTTCCTTTTGATACTACACCTCACGAGCGACATTGTCACCTGGTAAAAACACTCTTAAAAACGACTCTTTTTCACTTTAATTTTGCACTAACTTGAGCATAGACATTGAAGAATTCTGATTTGGTTTATTCAATGCAGTGTTACTGCTATGTGTGTGACTCAGCAGCTCCGTGTGGGAATTGGATGACACATTGTCATGCTTCAGAGCATGTTGATGATTGGAAGTTTCAAAGAAAATCGAGACTGAACGTTCGGCCTCCTAAATTATGAAGATGCTCTCCATTCTATGTCTGGGTTCCTGCAACAGACCGCACTCATGCTCAGGGTTTGGTTTTTGTCCACACTAGAAATAGGCTTCTGGTATGCCATGTCAACGTCTAAACAGAGATGGGTACTATTTTAGGTGGTTGAACACGTTATATTTTGTAAAGGATGGACAAAATTTTGTACAGTACTTGAAATACAAGTACTCATTTAGAGTGAAGGAATTTCATTGTTAAATTGTGGTTGAAGAATTCGGCCACAAAGCTCTATTATTTCTTTAACATTAAGCTTGGGAGCTGTTCTCTCTGTTTGGGTTTATTTACTGCCATATGCATTTGAAACCAGGGAAATGTTGAAAGAATTAAGTAGATTGTAAGTTGTTGACTTAAAGTCCTTCTCACATCTTTCACTCAAGAGGTCTGGTTGCTTCTACAGAAAGTTCTTTCCTCTGAGATCCGTCCAAGGTTCAACCAGGAGTTATTCTTGAATGCTTGATAGACAGTTGACAAACGCAAGACTTGATGTTTTCTCGTGGGAGAAATCTCTGCTCTTATTGTTGAATCCTTCCAATGTCCTCGTGATGTAGCAGTCCTTTACTAACTTTGAAAATGGTTGCTCCTTTCCTTACAAGAGGGAATTTAGTTCAGTCCTCATTCCTCTCTATCTCAAATGACTAAAGAGGTATGCATAATGATGGACTGACTAATCATGGTTGAACTTGAATAATGCATTTGCTAGTACTATTACTATAAATGCTATTATTATGCAATTTGATCCACCCTGTTATACCCTCTTGCCATTGGCAAGCTTACATTTACTAGCGTCCAATTCTACCAGAAAAACTTATTCGGGCAAGGGTGGGCTGGGAAATTTAATTTTCGGGTCTGGCCTAGGACGTCATATGCCGAGAACGAGCAGTAGGGGTCCTCAAAACGGGCCTAAAGGGCAGCCCAATAAAGGAGAAACCCTTATCACCAGAAACGAAACCTCACCGAAGGTTAAAGCCGCTGGTGTGTCTGTAGAACTTCCCATTCTCTCAGATTATTATCCTTACGATTTTCATTTCCCTCATTCGGCTAAAACCTATCTGACGAAAAGAAGCATGTCGCCAGCTCCTGTGGTTGAAGCCGCCCAGCCTGAGACTGAGCAGGTTCCTTCTACTGAGGAACCCCAGAAGCTGCCCCAGGTTTATCCATCATTTCACTTATTTTATCCTTTCATTTCCCTTTTTTTTTTTATGTTTTAAAAAACTATTAATACAGTATCATCTGCAGAGCGAGGAGGAGGCTGTGGTTGAGGACGTCAAGGAAGATGATGAGGATGATGATGAGGATGAGGATGACGAGGACGATGACAAGGAGGATGGTGCTCAAGGTTTCTTTCATTTTTACTTTCCCTCTAAGTTCATACTTTATTCATTTCGTTTTTTTGCTTCTTTTCTTTGCTTGGATTGTCTTGCAGATTTCGATACATTTGTTTTATTAGGGTTTTTTTTTCTCAAAACTTTGTTTGGCTTCAAATCTTTAATTTCATTTCGGCATTAACACTGCTTTAGTCATCTGAGTGGTACTTTTTTAGGGAACATTCTGCTCTATCATTTTTTGGAATTTGGGCTCTGTATATGCTTAGAATTTGTGCTTGGGTGTCTGCTTATTTTCTAGTATGAGATGAACTTATTGAAAATTGTCTGACCGCATCTGAAATCGCACGGTTGAAAGTCTGTGCAATTGCATTTTCTGGAGTTCTTTCGTAATCTTGGAAACTGAAAATTTTTTTTATTTGTTGATTTCTGCTTATGGTTTTCCTACCACGACATCCTCTAGAATTGGATTTGGATTTCATTCTAGGACTAACTGCATAGCTTGGTATTCAGTCTTCAGAGTTAGAAGAAAGCTTCTGGTTCATGTGATTTTGTTAGCTTTGAGTAGCTGAAATCCCTTGTTGGCTTGCAATTATGCACTCACTATTTTGTGGATATCTGATCTGGTAGCTGCTATTCATGCCAACATTCCTTGTGTATTGTTTGGCTATAATGCCATATGTATATGGTGCTATTTCTGACCTTCTTTTTAACTAAATTGTCTTATCAAAAGTCAATTCTGTGGATATTTTTATACAGTCCTTATTTGTTGCTTGGAATATCGGTTGCAGGTGCTAATGGAGGTTCAAAGCAAAGCAGAAGTGAGAAGAAGAGTCGGAAGGCAATGTTAAAGCTGGGCATGAAACCCGTTACTGGTGTCAGTAGGGTCACCATAAAGAGAACCAAGAATGTACGAATTCTCTGATTTTCTTTTCAAGTAATTGAGCTACCTGATGAATGGTAATATAACCTAGTTTCTCTTGGATTCAGATACTCTTTTTCATCTCAAAACCTGATGTCTTCAAGAGCCCAAATTCTGAGACTTATGTCATTTTTGGTGAGGCTAAGATAGAGGATTTGAGCTCTCAGCTACAGACACAAGCTGCCCAGCAGTTCAGGATGCCAGACATGGGATCTGTGATGGCAAAATCTGACACCTCCACCGCCGCTGCTGGAGCACCAGCTGACGAGGAAGGGGAAGAAATTGATGAGACTGGGGTAGAGCCTAGGGACATTGACTTGGTCATGACACAGGCTGGGGTATCGAGGAGCAAGGCTGTCAAGGCACTCAAGACTCACAATGGGGACATTGTTAGTGCTATTATGGAGCTTACTACTTAGTTGGTCTCTGTTGTCTTACTTGCGCTCTCAAATTCTGTCAACAAGTACTTGGTACTAGAGTCAACATTTTAGTTGTTGTAGTCGATCTAGCTTACCATCTACCGGGTGGCTAGGTTATCCTTTCACTTTTATCAAATTTTAGACAATTTTCTCACAACTCATGATCAGCGTTTCTGTGACTGATTGCTTCCCCTTTTCTGTAAGGAGTTTTTGCAACTTGATTAAACCGCCTTTTTGCAGTTGAGAACTATGAAGCAACTGAATCAGAATATGATTTGATATTGAGTATCTGGGTCAATGCTTGTGCTCCAAGCTTGTGGAAAATGGGAATTGATTATTTCTTCCTAGTGTATCCCGATGTGGGCAAAAGGGATGTAAAAATGAAAGGAAATTAAAATGTCAAATCTGTTTCCCGAGAATTTCATTGTCCTATTTTAGGTATCTCATTTCTTTTATTGGTGACCTAAATTTCCTTGAAGAGACATCAGCGGAGGGCATCGCTGATGAGCTTTTTCATTAAGAAACTTTGTGATTAGTTCAGTTATGACTTATTAGCTTCCGTAGAGAATCACCATTAAAACCGAACAAACAAATAAAAGATGTTTACGACTCATTATACCAACAGAAATAAGGTGCAAAAAAATACAGCTAGTGAACTTTAACCTTCGCAGCACCCCAACATTTGAGTCGGTGATTGTTACATGATAGTTTGCATCCTGTTGGTAATTAAATTTTACATTCTACCCCATGAGAAAACAGAACAATTTATGGATGCTATAACCACCTCACATACGTCAAAAGAAAATAAAGAAACACCAATAAATAAGACTGTCCGAAACAATTCGTTAGCCATTCATCAATGCAACCAGGGTACATGATTCCTTTTGCTTTCTTACCCTGTTTTTGTTACAACGAAAAAGAAGCATAGGGAAGAAAATTGAACTTCTTGAACCAAATTTAATGAAGATAATAAATGAGAATAATAAAAAGAGAAGCAGTACCAGTTAGCGGCGAAATCGAAGCCAGCGTAACCAAGCGGAAGGCAGAGAGGCGGGTAGAAGGTGCCCTTGCTGCGATGGACGAGTTTCCCGACGGTTGAATTGACATCTAAGAATGGGAGGTGGCGACGGCGGCACCACTGTTGGATGTCAATGTCGGGCCGGCAGAACGGACCCAATACACATGAGATCCAGGACTTGCAGACCGAAGAGGCGGTTGCCACTCCTTACTCAGCTGGGATTCTGATATGTATGAGAGCTAATATTTCAAGGTTGAGGCCTTCCCATTTCCCCCCATTCTTCCTTGGCGTTGCACATCATGAATCGGACAAGTACTCAACTTTTCCATTTGAAGCGTGGATTGAAGGCACGCGCGTATCTTTCTATTTTTGTTTTGTTCTAGGAAGGGTTTAGGATATCAGCTTAAATCAACCCATGATTCATTGAAACCCAGATGCATTGGCTTGCTTGTTGCTAATCCGAGAATTAAGATATGAGAATTAAGATTTGGTAAAAAAAAACAAAAGGTTCATTTTTTTTATAATTGGGGAAGAGGGGAAAGATTCATATTTTATTTAATAAAAAATTTTTGAATTTTTTTTATTAAAAATAAACATGTCTTTTTCGGTCTTACTCATGCAAAGTTAGTACTAGTATTTAAAAAGGTTTTTTCGACTGAGCCGCAGTGCGAAATCCAAAATTAGGGCGTTGGTTTTCCCTTGTATTAGCTGATAACATGGCTGCATTGGGCTGGATATTGTGGCTGCTTGTTTTTGTTAGTTTTGGGTTTGTTTGTACCCGTGGTTTTGAGGGACTGAACTCTTTTTGTTTCTGATGCATTAGCTTAGGGGCTTCATGGGCTTAGTTGTTATGTCTGTGCTGCCAATTACATTTTGAGCAGCCGGCTCTCTTTTGTGTACTGGGTTACGTCTTTAAGAAAGTTAGCCTTTTTATCTCAAGACGCGTCTTTTTCTAATTCGGATCAAGACTTATTATGACATTCTAGCTTTCGATTCAATAGTATTATCACTTTTCAAAAAAAAAAAAAAAAAACTGTCATTTCCATCCGGAAAGTTTTCACAAACAAACGATTTTCTAGTGCAAACAGACTACCTAATAAAGGAAAACTATGTCACATCCAGCATTATGCTTGTAGTTTACGTTTTTAACTCCATCACACTTTCGATTCCCATCTCTAGCCGTTGATCACCCTACAGTTGGCTCGAATCTCTCCCTCGGTTCCTGTCAAGACCTCCAGCTGGCCCATCTTCACCATTGCCGCTGCGAATTTGGCCCTCCACTGCATAGGATTCCTTGCATTTTGAGTCACTTGGTTTGCTGTAGCTGGGTTTGTCAGCAGAGTCTGGTCTGACGTGAACAAGCCCCTGTTTGCCAGGATATCAGCGTAGTAACCTGCATCGGTGATGCTTGGACTAGACGGGTTCATTGGCACCACCAGATTAGTATCCGTGCTACCCTGTGGGCATTGCTGCTTCAACATAGCTGCATACCTAGGATCTAAACTCGGGTCCTGTATAGCGGTCCCGCTGAAATTGTATAATCTGTTACTGAATGAACTGCAGTGTGATCGCCCAATGGTGTGTCCTCCTGTTGACCATAGAATTATTTGATCCATAAGTTTCTCAATATAGCATCAATATGCTTTAATTGTTGATATATGTAAATTACCAGAGAGTGTAACCATTTCCTCTTGGGTGAAGCCTTTATTTGCAAACATCTGTGTCAGTTGGTTGACATTGAATGTTGGGGGAGGTAGGTTTCCTATTATCTCTGAGGCAAGTGAAGTTCTGCCATCTCTTCTTCCAGCAGGGACATCGTAGCCAAGTCCTCCAGTCTGCACGAAATTTTACAAGAAAAAAGTGTCACAAATTTTAGCAACGTTGCTTATTTAATTCCAACTTTCCTAGCTAGATATGTATCAACTTAAAGTAAAATTATGCGTGCATACTATCTCTATGCTGTCCCTTGCTGCAAATGCAACAATATCAGCGCAGGAAACCACTCCTTTACAAACAGCTTCCAGTCTAGCCTTTGCATTGTCTATGACTTCATATCCTCGTAAACTAGGGTTATTGGCAAAGGAGTCTTTCTCTGCTGTGCTGGAGGGAGTGGAATCGAGTAGCACTGATCCGTCACAGCCCTATGATACAGATAAAAAGTGAATTAGTCTATTGTACAGAAAGAATTATAAGAGCTATACTCTCTTGGTATGTAGCTATATATGTCCACTGTCCCAGGCTGATATTTGCTATTGAGGGACGTATTTGCAGAAAGGAAGCTCTGAATATAGTTCAAGTTAGTTAGGCCAGAAGCTAAAAAACAAGTGACTTGTTCAACTTACCCTAACAAAGCAATCATGAAAATGCATTCTCATGAGACCAGCCGCCACTCCTTTTTCCTTAATAAACGCTTTCCTCACCTCTTCTTTGACAATGAATTCTACCGAGCTGCATGTATCTCTATAAAATCCTATTTGAAGTCGAGAATGAACACTCTGACAAAACAAAACCACAGCCAAAATCGTAAAGTCTCGAGTAAGCTTCCTTGGACTCATCTTAACCATCTCTAACAGATCTTTTAGGCTTCAATGCTTATACACCCAACATCGTCACACAGCTACTTATAGTTGAAGACTAATGAATTTATAATTCTCACGGTTGAAAAACGTTTTAATTAGTTGATTATCTTGAGTGATAAAGTAGTGGCATGTGAAGAGGCAATGCTCTGGCATGTCATTGTCACTTCGACGGGACGAACATCATTGACATCCGCACTTCGGAGAAATTAGAGAGAAACGACAACTGGAGTGGGTTATTTGATGATAACAGGACATATTTTGATTGTATTATAATGAAGCCAATTAGCAGTTTTCACGCAAGAAATGGATTAAATTCGGAGTTAAATATCAATACTTTAACTTGAATACGATAAAATTTAATGAGTTCTTACTATATTTTATTTATATATGTATGTGCATACGTAATGATTTATTATTTGATAAGATTACTCTTTTATTAGGATATATTGAGTTTACAGATTTATTTTAATATTTATAAGTTTAGTGTAAAAAGCCTCTAAATAAACTGGAGTTTAAATATAGCAACTCTAGGAAAGAAAGAATCTAATTTCCAAAATAAAATTTGTGAGTTTCTTTTCATTCTTCCAATTAGTTGCTCATTGATCGAATGATGGATGCAGCAATATGAGATTTTCCGGAACTACGTATCTAGTTCTATATGACAAATTCGAAACCGTTATGGTATGCTGCAATATTGAAACTGTTTTCCAATCTGAGAAGAGGGGAAGCTGTGAAACAACGGATGTGCAACTGCAGTTGTATTAAAATATAGAGAACCCAATCTTTATTTTTCCTTTTCCTGCTCTTCACATGTTCTGCTCCGGAAAGCTTCATCATTCTTCAAACAAATTTTAAAAACAGCTAGCGTGTTATAACAAATTTGCTTATGTATCGTATTATTTAACAGAATGATGCCATGGAATCAGCCCTGATTCTCACTGCACCATGCATCCGCAGAAGCTGATATCTAAGTGTGCAGTAGCATCCTGTAATTTTCTGCGTTACCTTATATAGACCAATACCAAGACGAACAGCCGGACACCACTTAAAACAAGAATACATTTCCTCGCTGGCAGACAAGACACCAAGTAGAATTTAAAAGCTTCAACGAAAAGGTTACCCAAATCAAACAAGAAAAGAAAGAAGCATAAAGGTTTATTCGAAATAAGTTTTTACCAGCTTTTTACAAGGTTGGAGAGCAGTCAAGTTCTAAGCAACTCAGTTGGTGTTCCACACACTTTATACAAATGTTTACCGGGAAACAAGATATCATTTACCATAGGGTACAGCCTGGAACAAATTTAGGTTCAACTGTTCTGTCCTGAAAGCTCCTCCTTCAATACGTGCTCCCAGTCTGAAGAACAGCTGTCATACCAGCCTGCAGAGAGTTGATTTCCAAGCCTGGCGCTCTTGGGAGACTGTATTGTGCAATCATGCTTGACACATGGATGAAAATCCTTCACAACTAACTGTTCTCCAGCATAGTCAACCACTTGGTTCTGTGAGACAGATTCCAGATTAAAACCCGAAATTTGATCATCTGCTGTGTCTTCATCAATGGGTATTTGCATTTTCTTTCCTGCAAATCCAAGATCAACAACCTCTGGCAGTGGTTTCTGTTCCATCTCATTGGAATCCAAATCAACAATGCCTCGGCTTTTCAGGATATGTAACCTAGCCATGATGGAGGCTTCAACATCATCTGTATGGCAGGCTGTGCCTGGTGCAGGGGAGTCTTGGGTTCGCAGACTTGAGGTTGAGCTATCCTTTACTTCAGTTGCCAGTTTGTCAATCGCATCCGTATCTAAAGAAAGCTTTGAGCTCGAGAGTTCATCTGCATCTCTAGTATGAACAGAATTTGAATTGTTAAGCCGGTGTTTTGATACATGAAATCTGGCTGTGACATCATCAGCATGGTTGCTGGAGCTTGCTATAGGAAAATTTTGGTTAGAAACATCTGGGGTTGGTGCACTCTCTGCTATTGCTGTTAATTTCTTATTGGTGTTTAGATCAGCAGATAATTTAGACCTTGAGATTTTGTCCTCATCTGGTGTGTCTTCTGACAAATCTGAATCAAGACAACAGGTTAAACAAAAATCAGAGAGCCAAATGAAAGAGTCAAGGATTGTTAGCAGATAATTCTAAAAAATTTGTTCTGAAAATGACATGATCCAAGGAGTTTACAGAAACGTTTTAACCTTTTTCTGTGTCCAATTTGCATTTTTCTATTTCAATCTTCATGTTATTGTAGCGAGCCATGTAATTGATGGAGCATAAAGCAGCTTCTGCCTCAAGCCATAGATTCTTATACAAGAGAACTTGTGGGTGTGCCTCTTCCTTCTCATGAAAATTCTCAATAAGAACCTTCTTTATAACCTGCAAATTGTGAACCAAAGAAATACAGTATATGTTTGCTTTCAATTTTCATGTCCTTTTCCTCCCTACTATAGAAAGAAAATGAGGAAATATATTCTATCACAGTAAAGAGCAAAGAATCAAAAAATCAAAAAATCAAAAAATCATATACCTGGGTCATCTTATCATTTTTCACTTTTATGTCTGGACCACTCCTCACAGAAACAAAATCAGAACATTTCTCATCTTTCTTACCAAAATGCTTCCTCTTCGCTTGCGCATGCTGACTTAGAACATCAATAGCTGCCACCTGGGGGCTTCCCATGCTTGTTCCCTGAGAAAAAAGGATTCAGCTCAGTCATTACCCAGAAAAGAATTTCCAGGAAAGAGTTATGTAGGAATAAACATAATAGCAAAGAGACACAATTTAGCATTTCACAATTCCTAGAGATAATTACACAATAATTAAATAAGACAAATAAAATAAAAACAGGGAACCATAGCTTATGTAGCTCACTCAATAATGACTCTTGTCCAATTTTTTTTGACATGGGGAACCATACCTTATGTAGCTCACTCAATAATGTCTCTTGTCCGATATTTTTTGACATGCATGTATCGAGATTGTTGATTACTTTTTCAAGGGACTTGACATCTTGTTCCCTTAATTCACATGCCTCATTGGAGAAGTGATATAGAAGCAATTCTGACAGGTTATGCATTGTATCTACCAGAACACTGATGCTGCTATTTGAAATGGGTTCTTTGCCTAAGAATTTAGTATGCTTTGTAGAAACATCTTCTACAGAGGATGGTGCACACGATAAATGCTTTACACCATGGCATGACATATGAGATGAACCACAGCCCATGACATCATTTATCTTCATCTCAAGATCAGCAACGCCAGTCTCAGATCTGCACAAATTTTTAGAAGCTAATCTACCTTCCGGAAGACATTGTTGACCAGTGTAAGATGCCTTCTCAACCTCATCCACTGACTTGTCAAATAAGACATAATCTTTCTTCCATTCACTTGCATTATCAGAGAATTTGATCTCACAGGCAGAACTTGCTTTATTTTTATGGGATCCTGCTTTCCTAGCTTCATCAGGTTCACGTTCTTTAAAAGACGGGATGGAGACTGGCGGCAATTTCAGAGAAGACATTGAACCATTTTCCACATTCCCATTTTCATCAGACATCAAAATTTCACCTGCTTTTCCTGAAGGATGTTTAACTATGTTAGCAGTATTCGAAGAAATAAATTTAAGCACTGGACCATTTGAACCATCGCATGCTTCAAGTTTCTTTACAAGCTGCACAGCAACAGCCTCAGAAGAACCAAATGGGGAATTATTAGAAGCTGGAGCTCCTTTCCAGCAAGGTGAGTCAACAGGAGGGTTGTAATGATCTAAACTCTCTAAAGAATTCTCCACAGCCATGACTGCTTCATTATTCTCAAGTGCCAAACTGAAATTATCTGGACTAATTCGAGACAAATTAACTCCAGATTTTGCTCCGAAGAAATTATCAGAGGCATCCTTAGAGGCCATATTTCTTGTTGAAAGCTTTTCAGTGCTTGTTAACGATTCCCCAGACATATAACAAGTTCCATCAACGAGAAAGCTGAGTTGACTTGCGTCAAACTCATTTTTGCTACCAAAGTTAAACAAAAAACGAGGCTCCTTCACAGTAGAATGATTATTGCCAACCAAATTTGTATCAGTTGCATTAATGCCAGTATTAACATTTTTAAATGAAACAGAATTTGATGCTGAAGAGCTGGTACCAACAGCTGGTGGTCTAATAACAACCCCAGGCGAAGACTTCACGGAAGGTATACTATCACTTAAAGTAGTACCGTGCTGTCTCAATGGTTTCTCATATGGAGTGCTGATTTGCACATGATTGTTCTTGCAATTTACCAGATTTAACGGAGGTGCCTGCAAGTTGGCTTCAGAAATTGCTGAACTGGACCCGATAACTGATGTCTTCAAGTAATCCACAGGCATGAATGATGGATTTTGCCCCAGGACAGGGTTATAATCTAGCTTTTCAATATTAGCAGGCCCAGCTTGATCTTCCCTAAGTGAATAAATATTATATGAAGTTTCTTCGCATGTCTTTAGGCTTTTGGAGGGATGAGCTCCTGCAATCAGAGACAAAATAGAAATGGTCTATGTAAAATCCCACCCAATGTTTCTTTATCATCATTCTCTAGTAAACCCCCCTTCCCACATGCTGCTCTTCCCAATAACTGAATTTGACAATCCAAAAGTAGGTAGCATTAGAAAGTGAGGTGGTGACAAGAAAGGGTGAAGATGCATTTTCCGAAAGTCTTCGTGATCATAGCAAAATGGTAACAGGAATCAAATTTGCAACCCTGCATAGTGGTTAGAATCATTTTTTTGGCCTAATAGTGCAGGAGGAGAGAGTAAAGACATCAAAAGATTTTGTAGGTATGAGTCCAGGTATTGGGGGAAAAAATGAATGAGTCAGCCATTGAGCTTTCGAGTGCATGTAAAGACCATTATTAATAAAAATAATGAACAAGAGGGAGAAAAGGGAAGTAAATGTCGTCAGAGAATATATGAATAAAAGGAAAATTGACCAGTCATGCCAACCCAGAGAACCCTAAATCAATCAGCTTAATAAATTTGAGTGTTAACAATAAGAAGGGATAATTCCAGTGTCTCACTTAGACTCTGGTCTAGGCGTGCTTACAAGAACTTTCAAAGAAACTCTGCAGTAACTCAAGAAAACTTGTGGCAGACAAGAAATGATCAGTCATCAAGAGCTTAAAATATCACCAAGAAAGGGGGGGAGGGGGTGGGGAATACCTGAATTGAAATAATTTACCATGTACACAAAGTGCATTTGATCATTGAAATTCTGCACATGGAATAGACAAGACAAAAAGGAAAGTAATGCAAATGCAAGTACCATGTATATATCAAAGACAAATACAATGGGAAGAAAAGTAAAACATAAGAAAGCATAGAAAGAAACAAATTTTTGAAACAAGTTTACCTAAAAATAGCATTAATATATGGTCCAAAGAAAAGGGAAAACTCACCAAGGTTGATATGATCCATGTAAATGGAGGAAGGAGCTACAGACGTCTCCTTCGAATAAAAACTCCCACCAAGCTGAGCCGGCTTCCCTTTCTCCCAATCCCACAAGCCACCGGCCCATTGAGCCGTATGGTCCAGGCCAGGCAAGCTCTGCTCATTGAAAGTTGGCACATGAAGGGGTGGTGAGACATAGGAAGGATAATAGGTTTTGGGTTCAAAAAGATCCGAATTTTGGTTATAGGAAGGAGTGGGAGTCGGGTCTAAATCCAGCTGAGGCAGTTGAGCCGGTTGGGGTGAATTAAAAGTGTAAGGATTAGAATCAAGCCAATTCAAGGGTTCACCCAAATCAACAAGTGGGGTAGCTGCAGGTTTGGGGATGGATCGGTCGACGGTGAAAGGTGGTGCTAAAGCTGATAAATTTGAAGATCCTCCTCCATGAGCGTTCCCAACATAAGACCCAAATCCCATCATCGTATATCTGTCTCAAAAACTCAAAATTTAGTCCATCTAAACAAAAACCCACAAAACAAAAGTTCCGACTTTTGCAAGAAAAAAGACAACAGCTATTTCAGTTTTCCAGACAGAAAATTTTGGCATCAAACTCTGTATGGATGAGAAAAAGTAAATGGAGTCAATAAATCATCGTTATCATCGGTTTCATTGATCATACCAACGGAGACGAGAAGGACCCAATTCTTAGAAGTGAGAATTAATTGGCCTCATCATCAGCACCGCCACATTTGAGTTTGGAGAGTTGAGAATCAGGTGTTGCACGAGTCTTTTCTTGGTTGGGACTATTGGCCACTTACCCAACTTTACGTTATTTCCCCAAAAGTCCCTTGCGTTCTCCAAATTGGCCTTAAATCCTTTCCTATATTTTCTTGTTTTTCTTAGTATGTAATGAATCATCATTTACTTTATGATCTACTCAGACACGTACGCACGAGTGAAAACTTCAAAAAAGATTCCAACTCTTAGATGGGAATTAGTATAAATTTATTAATAAAGTTTGTATTTGTCTATTTAATAATACTAATCAATTCGTAGAATTGGATACCAACAATTGAGAGGTTCATTTGGAGTGAATTCACTTCTTTTAATTGTCTAATGATCTAATATTGAAGACACAAACTAAGTAGAGAAATCCTTGTTTAGTACCATTTCTTAAACAAAGATAATTTAATTTATTAAAACAACTGAAAATTTAATTATTGCCAATCACACACAAATATTTGGTACAAATTTGAAATTAATCCAGTTAATACCCATTAACATCTCGAAGCTTTAGGTTTGTAATCAATGTCAAAACGTTAAAGGTTATATGTAATAGTTAGGTGAACTAATAATGGCATTGCAGACTAAGTAAGAGTTTATGGTTTACAAATCGGAAGGTAAATATGAAACGTCTTTAGAACTACAAGACATGATCGAATGAAAATGTAGTCGTTCGGGATAATCATGAATGACGAATTTAATAATATATATTATATGTCTTATGGTTTTCATTTTTCAAGGTCTATATATGTGTATTTATGTTACGTACCTTGGCATAGACTAAATGCGCCATTATACATATCGAAGGTTACCAAGCTCGTCAAGGAAGAAAAGTAAAACAAATGTGATGGGCGCTGTCGAGTTGAAGGCGCTTTGGATATTCTTTTCAAATTAAGAAAGGGCTAAGTCCGCCTTCAATGTCAATGCTATTTTGATGATGATCTTAAAGATTACCATTATAATTATCTGGAATCACTTCAAAAACACTCTTATACTTAAAACGTTTCGACTCACTTTACTTACAGTGAATCATTACCTTATCCAACCACTCCAATTTGATTCGTTGTATTGCTATTGGCATAAACAACTCAAAACTCCCAACATTTTAGGCTTGAAGGACTACTTTGACAAATCATCCAACAAGAGATTAGATAGTAACATATCTCAACTTCTGGTATTCTTATCACGATCATATTCCGAATCACTATCATGCATTGCCTACTAATCAACTCTGTCATCAGATATCATCATCCACGTCGTGCTGATAAAACCAGTTCTGAGCAACAAGTAATACCAGTTGTGAGAAAGGGTTTTGATCAACCCTAAGTAATTAAAGGATCTTTTTTTGTTTTTTATCTTATAGGGAATGCAGCTCTCTTTTACTGTGTTGATACAACCATTGGAGTAGTGTCCAGCCTCCTATATCAGGCAGAGCTAGCTAGAGCGCGCTTCCTACGCCTTATCCTCATCTAGAATTGGGCAAAAGGTCAAAAAGTCAATGATGAAGCATAGAATTCAAAACAAGCAATTCTCCTTATCATTGCTAGCTGTTTCTGTTGTTCATCAAAGTAAATGCGAAAGCTGGGATGGAGCCGGAGGAGATGTGGGACTATTGCATTTCTAATTTAATTTGAACTATAGATTTGACATTATCCCCTCTCGTGACTCAAAACGCCAAAAATCAATAATGAGTGAGAAGAATTTTTGGATAAACCGAATCCTAACAAGGGAAGACTGAAGAGAGCCCCCCACTCGGCGCCTCGAAGAAAAAAGTTATATTCGCCTTTTCAAGTGAGGTAAAAAATTGTGGGTAAAACCCTAAACCCCATAGTCCGGCTAACATTCACAAAAACAAGCAATCTATAAAAATAAATCTGCATTGGTTCATCCTTTCGATCAGATCAAAACAATTTTCTGCTCATAATAGCTTATGCTTTGAAGATATATATATCTTATCCTTACAGCGATTACCAGCTGAGCGGACACAATCATTTTTCTTTTTTGCCAAAAAGAGCAAATAATATGAAAGCTTGTTCAAGTTAAAAGTACATGTAGTAGGGACGTGAATGCATAGAAAATAATTTAGAATTCAGGCCACACCAATGCATTAATCTCGCATGAAAAAAGGAGTTTCCTCGAAATTACATAAATCGCAGTGCATTAGAAACGAATGATGATGAATCACAAACGAACTCCGACAAATGTACACAGAAGAGTGCTGATGATGACGACGATTAAAAAAAATGACTAAAAATAAAGAAATAATAAGAACCCAATAGAATATACTAAAAGTAGACGAGGAAAGAAGAGTCCTGATTCAGGGTGGCAGCAGCAGGAGAAGAAGAAGAAGAGGTAAGCCGACGAAAATGAAGCGTTGGCCTCGGTGCTAGCAGCCTCTCCGTCACCCTTGCCAGCGCCACCGTGCATTCTCCTAACAGCTCCGCCATAGTCGATACTTTAATCATCTTCCTTGATCTTATATTTTTTTTTTGGCCTTTTGGATATGGAGAGTAAGAGAAACTTTTCTTCGGTTTTCCTTTCCTTTTAGGCCTCCAATTCCAAAATGTCTCTAATAAGCAAAAAGGTGAATTTACTTTTAGCTTGCCCAATGAAGCTTTTGAATGCTTTGGTGAAACAAGTGGACAAAAGATGCAGCCAAGCTTGTAAACTTGCTAGCAGTGGGATCTACCCACCTTTTCGGTTCTCTCGTTTTTTTCCTTCAATCTTTCATTTCATCCATGGGTGTATTATCCACATTTTCATATTCGTAATCATGGATCAATAAATTATTAGAGTGATTAATGATGGAATGAATATTGGTTTTCACATTTTTTTCTCTTGGGTCAGCTTACGAGTTAATTTGTAATCGTTAACTTTAACTAATCACATTTCAACCCTTTCTTAATCCATGTATTAAAAAAAATAGGATGGGTTAAGTTAATTATTAAAACTTAATTAGAATTTATCCCCCGCAAATAAATGGGTAAATCTCGAATCAAAAAGCCGCTGACATAGATATAGAAAACTTGACCAATTAAATCAACCCATCATCGTTCAACAGTAATTTATGGTTTATGTGTCCATCAACCAAATCTTATCTATATTTGGGCATTAATTAGGGGATCACTTTGCTTTTGTTTCTACATTATTTCTGATGACATGGCGTGGATCTATTGGAGGATTGTTTTCGGTGGGACGTGGAGTGGCTTTAAAGTCTTTTCGGTGTTGCGTGGAGAATTTGGCACCGTCAGAGTTCGGACTTTGGACCCCCCATTTACCTTCCGTATCTGGGAAAAAACCAAGCTTCCCTTCTGCTCCAAAACACAGTGCATGCATGCCTTGCGAAGTAGCCAAATCAGTTGAGTCGTGGCACACGAGGCATGTTTTCCTTCTGCATTAGGCAGGTTTTTGATTTCGGGTATTCTCGCCGTTGATTTTGGCCGTCAACTAATACGGCCAACTGCCCAAACACGCGCATGACATATGATTTCTATTTTATATTCAAGAAAAATGATAAAACGCAAAGTCCAATTTAAATACTACCACCTAACAATGAGACATAATTAAGCAGAGAAATTTCCATGAGAGAGCCGACTATCTTGAACCCGCAATTTATTTACAAATGAGAGGAGAAAACGTATGACATCAAATTTACACTCCTTTTCCCTTTTGGTTTGGAAAACGTAGAGGCATGCACATACGCCTTTTTCCCATGTCCCTTTTTCCTTGGCGTGCATAGTTAATTTCTTATCTTTAGAAAGAATAGGATCTGGTGAAGACCTTTTGCCATGCCTTCCAGCTTAGAGAGCGAGCCTTCATTAGAGCTAAAGAAGGTTTACTGGAGCCCTTGGGAGGAAGAGAAGGTTGGGGCGATGATGGTTGTGCCTCTTCCATCTCAATGTTGTCTTCTGGCTTCCAAAAACGAGCTTCTTTTCTTTTGCTCTTCATCGTTGATAACACATCGAATTTGTTACATATTCCCCACACTGTTACCTTTTGTTGATTATAGTCTACAGTTACCGAGTATATTCCTGCCATATCACAACAAGGAGCTTCAACACAGTTGCCCTAAACATGGCATGAAGCTTGGTAATACATTAATTTACCTTATGGCCCAGGGTCTATGATTTGATTGCAAAAATTCATAAGGTATCCAAGTGTTTAGTTAACTAAACTTTACAGTCGTGGCCAACCAATGGGAGGGAGAGGGGCTAATAATTTAATTTGGCCTCATTAAAACGTAGGAAGTGCAACACCCGAAGGAAGAAGGAAAAGAAAAGAGGAAATTGAAAAGAAACCAGGTGTGTGATTACAAATTTTATTTTCTCCCTTTCCTCTGATGAAACTATTCATGCATTTGAAAGGAGTGGGGGTGCGTTGCATTGCTTTTCATATGCTGCTTTTCTATTTTAGTTTGAAATTCAATAGACCAACGGGACAAATGATAAAAGTGTTGGTTATTTCATGGACAATTGTAGGTCCAATAACCATTATTTCGAAACGTTTTGGGCTTGGGCCTTAATCTAAGACTACAATCTAGCAAGAGGAATGTAAATGCTAAGCTTTGAACGCGGACACCGGACCAGGATGCAGGGCAGAGAGCGTAGAGACAACTTTGAAATTAGGCGACGACAGCCCATGGATATGTCACACCATGGTTTCATATAGAGATAATGAAGAAATTAAGTAATCAGATATTTACCTTTGAGATGGGACAAAGCCTTCTTCACTTTCCTCTCACACCCGTAAGAATACAAAGGCACTATCATCTCCACGTACTGTGGCTCCACATTCTTGCTAGCTACAACTATTTGCATGTTTGCCATTCTAGCTCCAACCTAATTGAAACTAGATCTTGCTTCTTATCGATGTTGTTATTTCTTCTCGGTTGTCACTGCATCGAATTTGGCAAACGCCTTATATAAGAGATTCACAAGATACTGATGCAAGACCACTGGCCGATCGTGGATATCTTGGTAACGAAGGCTAGTGGTCTCTTTTCCCCCTACCTTTTCTTCATTTAATTTTCTTCTTGTCGCTGTTCATGCTTTATCGTTTATCCTGGTGGCTTGATCTGGTCAGGTTCAGGAGGTCAATTTAATTGTCAAAAGATACTTTAATGGGGGAGGCCCTGTCTTTGGAAGGGGTGTCATGTTGACTTGGATAGGGGTATAAGATGTGTCAGCACAGCTGTTTGTTTATCAAAAGTGCAGTGAACCATCTCCTTTTCATCATGGGGATTGGATATCCTTATATACGTATAATTTGGCTCCCATGTGGATTGTTTTTCTTATCAACGAAGTTGCTTTCTCTTTGAAATTGGAACTTGGGAAGCATAGAGAAAGGAAAACAACAAGAGACTAAACCTAATGCAGTATGATTATGTGTACCTGAAAATTATTGTATATTGTGCAAAAATTAAAAGTGCGCAAGGCATCATCTGCTGTGCAGTCGTTGGTGAAGCCGCCATGCACATGCATGCATACTTTTGCTTAACTGCCTGGCAGGGCATCTGTCCCCTAATTTTTTGTTTTGATATGGTCATTTCTTCATCAAATATGTAACGTTTTAATTCATCTTCTTATATATGTTGAATTCACTTAGATATAGATTCATTTTCACTTGAGTAAAATCAATCTCCAATCAAACGTCTCTAACTGCAACTGAGATATACCTTTCCACAGCCATCAACCAATTGATTTGAACTTTAGTGACGTTGTATAGTACCTCAGAATGATTTGGAAGATCAGCATTGTTTAGATAGAAAACTTAGCCGACAGAGAGAGAGAGAGAGAGAGAGAGAGAGAGAGAGAGAGAGAGAGAGAGAGAGAGAGAGAGAGAGAGAGAGAGAGAGAGAGAGAGAGAGAGAGTAGTTAGTCAATAAAAGCTGTTGGACACTTCACTTACAGTCATGGTAGTCAACAAAGCTGCTTTAATGTCTAAATTAACTTTATTTTCTAATAAAGTTGTTAGTGCAAGCTCCTTCAGCTTTTTAATCTTCAATTTTGATCGACAACCTATCATTTTCCCCCTACTTATAAAGGGCATTTATGATGCATTTACTTTATCTTTATCTATCAACGCATCCCTTAATTAACTTCCAAAAAAAAAGGGAACTTTTGATTAAAAAAAATTTCTTTTGTCTGAGAAAAGTTGTGGCCTCACTTTGTCTTTGTTGTTGGAACATTCACCTCAAATAAGGAGTAGGGAAGTGAGAGCATAGCCCTGACTAAATTGATGCGTGGGACAAAAAGACAGTGGACAGGTGTGACGGCAATGCGTAGCCTCTCAGACATTTTCAAATGCCACGTAAGAAAATAAAATGTGGGGTCAGATTCTGGTGTCTCTCTTGGCTTTAATGGGGATGACTCAGATCTCATATGCAGACAGAGGTCCTACCATGTGAAGCCCACGCCCCTGATCTCTTCAGAGAATCTTAAACCTATCAATTTTTATCCGTTTATCAGTTTTGGGATTTTATTCTATCCTTTTAACATGTGACATCCACGAAAGGTTTGGAATATTATATGCCCTCTTTTACCCCACATTTGATACCTTTGATCAGTCCCAGGGCTCGTAGGGACTGTGCATGGTGATCGTGATCTGGGGAATTGGACAGCGCCGCTACAAATATAGAACGCTAGCTAGATTTAGGCGAAGACGAAGAGAAAGTACAAATGTTGATGCTGGTGCTTTGCTAGGGTATCTACGTCATATTATCCACCTCTGTGCACGGACTGCTTAAGGGAATCATTTCAGAAATTAACTGATCAGGCTGTTGCTTTGTTTCTTTTGCGTCGGATAAGATGTCGACCCGATGAAAATCCAAAAACAATTGCAAATGTGTGTGTTTCATTAAATAGTGAGAAATCGAAGTTATAAACCTGGGTATAAGATTTCATCACAAGAAATTGTAAATGCAAAAACGGATGGTATATCTTTGAATGATCATGATTAAGCCTCATCAAAGGCAACAGACCTACAGGGTCTTGCGGCCATGCAAACACTATGTTAAATAAGCATCAAAACTGGCAATTGGCCATTTATTTACGCTCCATCCAGAGTTGATTGATTTCGGAGAAATTAATCTTATTAAATTATAAGTTAAAAGGTGAGAGGATACCTATTCAGGTAGTACAAAACAAATTGCTTTTAGAAATTATTTAAAAAGACACTAATAAAAAAAATACTTAGTAGATCAAAAGTCGTAATAAATTTTGATTAGTGATAACTTTTGCTGAGTAAAAAAAAAAATAGTGATAAATTTTTTTAAATAGATATTGAAAGAGAAAATTTTAAATTTGCTGTCTAATTTTTTTGGATGTTTTTGTTGAATCTTAGAGATATATTGTCATTAATCTCAACTGTAACACTGTAAAGCTATAATTACTTTAAAAACAATATACATAAATATTGTAACAAAACTACTGACAGTAATTTAATTAGGGATACGTTAAATCTAATTAATTAACATGCAGCCAATCCCACAAAATCTACCCATCCGGTCGTAGTTGATCTTATGTTATAGCTCAGAAGTTCTCTTACGTAATTAACGTTTTACCATGACATAAGGGTTAGCTATTACTTATTCCTGACTCCTATATATTCACTTGTCTTTATTACTTTAGACAAAAACTTTCATTATTAAAAAAAAAAAAGGACGAGAGAGAGAAAGAAACATAATCAATATTTATTTGGCCCTATCTTAAATTTTCCCCAACAAAAGAACAAAATTTGAGACATTCAGAATGATACTATAATATTATCATAATATTATAATATGGAACAACTTTCTGTAATTAATTTTTATATATAAAAAAATATTATAGTACATCATCAAAATTTATGACTGTCGGTAGAACAAATAAATTTCTTAAACATTAAAATTTTAATATAATTAAAAGTGTAGGGTTATTAGTAAATCATTTTTTATTAAAGTAATGGCTTACCGAATCTAAATAGTAGTAGGTTTTATGAACAAACATATTACGTCAAGTATATATATACAGCAAAAAATCATGTATGTATATTGTATATATATTTAACTTAACATACACTATGATACATTTAATACAGAATGATGATATTATTAATCAACTCAGTTGTACAATGATCCCACTGCGGCACTCCCCACATTCCCTGGCTGATATGAGCCGTCCACCAGACTTTCTAAAATTCTCATCATCAGTGGTACGGACTGAAGATTAACTATATTCTATATACTACTCCACATTATAGTAAAAATTAACTAATTAGAAGCTAAAAACCTTGTCATCACGAAATGATTCGATACTATGACGACTACGAAATGCAACAAGCGTTGGGATTTTCATCGCTGAAGAGCTGAGGAGGAGGAGGCATTCGCTCGATGACGTAAAGGGGCTGGTAGTAGTAGATCATCCTCTTCATGGATTCGTCCTCATTAATACTGATGTTATTCTCTTGTGCTCCTTCCTTCTTCTCCACTTCCTTGCCTTCTTTGTTTTCAGCTTCTTCTTTCTTAACTTCTTCCTTAGCTTCTTCGGGTGGTTTTTCTTCTTTTTTCTCGGCGTTTTCTTTGGGCTTGGCTTCTTCGGCTGGCTTCTCTTCGCCTTCCTTTTTCTCGGGTTCAGGTTGAGGCTCAGGCTCCGGTTGTGGCACGATCCTGGCCTGCTTTTTGGTGCGTCTATAGACATAATCCACTAGCTTGTTTGCATCCATGGTACCCGTGACTGTAACTTTGCCTGTGCTATGGTCTGTTGCTGCACTTTGTACGCCTGAATGTAAAAATTAATAAACATCAGAATCAATTCTACAATTATCCCTGAACTATGAAGTGCCAATAAACATACATATTTTATTAATTGTCGGTTGCCCTTATAAAATACCAAATCCCTTAGTTTCACAATAACGGTACATGACACTGATCGAGACTAGTGTTAGTTAAAGTCCAAAAGCATGCACAAATAATTGCTTGCCACGTTGGAAAGGCCACACGGCCTTTGTTTGCCCATATAGGATTCCTTTTCTTGTCACTTTTATTATTATTTTTTTATAATTAGAAAAAAAAATTACTTTTTAATTAAAAAATCATATATTAACCAACTAAGCATTCTAAATATTTGGACTCTTGTGACTTTTATCTGAACCTTTTTCAATTCCTCGTGCAGTTGGTCAATCGCAATTACAATTATCCTCTTGCGTTTTGCTGGCCAAGTGGCCTATTATGCTACAAATTCACTAAATAAATTAACGATGTTTCGTTACCCAAAGGTGTACCCTTGTAAAATTGGCATGAACCTTAACCAAACTGAATTTTCGATGGATGATTCTAATAACTCTTTCTAAATGCAAGGCCACGGGACAACCAGCCAATTAATATTATACCTCTCATTTTCAGAATCTTTCTCTTGAGTTGCTCAGCACAGGCTTGGCAATGCATGTCTACGTTAAGCTCCACGGTTGTTAATCCACTAACCTGGAATAGTTAACCAAAACAATGCCATTAATACTTCCATATATGAAACGGGAAACGATTTTTTTTTTCTTTAAATTTATAAGTGCTATCTTTTCGTTTGTTTTCTTGGGTGAAATAAGGAGCTGCATGAAACCTGTGAAGTAACAACTTCTGGCAGAGGTTCACCCTCAACAGCAGGCAAGGGAGACAGAACTTTAGCCCTTCTCTTGGTTTTCTTCATGATTTTAGCACATATTGCTCGGGGTTCAACTATTCCCTTTATTGTCACTTGGTTTTGAGCCATATCGATCGCAACTCCTTCCACACCTGCCAGCGTACGTCCACCAACCATGTGAAGATTGTAGTAGTTACATAAAGGATTATGACCAATTAATTAGTGAAAGACACAGATATATAGCATCGAATCAATATGAATTTATTACCTCTAATCTTCATGATGGATTTCTCGATCTTCTTTGCACAGCCCGCGCAATGTAAGTCCACAAACAAGACAAGAGGAGGTGGCGGGGGTGGTTCCTCCTTCTTTTCTTCTGCAGGCTTCTCCTCTGCCTTCTCTTCCTTTTTCTCTTCTTTCTTCTCCTCTGGTTGAGCCTTTGCTGCGGCTTGTTCCTGCCAAACATCAAAACAAATACCGGCCTAATTAAATTATCCAAAAGTAATCCATATTGAATCATTCAATAATTATCATGGTAAAACTCAACGAAACTAAATTAGGGTGCATGCAATTTGTTTTTTCCGTTTTTTTTTTTAGAAAGTCCCCTCACCTGCTTAGCTTCCTCACCCATTTCCTCTATGAATGAACTTAACTAACACGAGCTGAGGCGAAGAAACAAAAGGGAGAAGAGAATGGTATTTACTAAAGAGTAGAAGAGTGGTTTTTATATAGAAGAGAGTGAGAAAGTAATGGAATGGACGGTGGGGTTAAGAGCATATAAAGGCAAACTACGCGAATCCACAGCACATGTAGTGCCACTTAGTGTACAAAGAGCCTCTTGGTTTAATATTTCTTTAGGAAATCTTTCCAATCTCCAAGGCGGAAGAGGTAGAAAAAAGGGGGAGGAAAGCAGTGAAGCAGAGTTGGCAGATTTATAGAGAAGATCGATGGGAAGCTCAATTGGAAGTTGTTGGGCGAGTGGTGTTGATGAGAGGGGGTGGATGGCTAAGGAAAGATGTGAAAAGAGAACCAAATTGACAATGATAATACTTCCATCATCCACCGACTTTGGGTGCATTTTTCAATTCATGAGGTGGTGACTCGTCAGACAAGTTTTAACTCTTACGTGGACACCTGGATACCTGCTGCTTTACGAGGATGGTTTTTTGGGTATGATCTAGTACGGCCAATTCACTCACTTCGTCAGCACTCTAATCCTTTCTCTATTTGCCACCTCCGCACTAGTGTTTACACCTCGGTTAAGGGATTGCTTAGGGTTAGAGTTGTACGATACATAGTTTGGGGCTTTCTCGCACTGGAAGACTTGCCATGGATACCAATTAAACCCATGGAGTGGAAGTTTATGCCGTTGATGAGGGAAAACTGTAGGGGCCAAAATAAACTTTAAAATATGTAATATCGACAAATAATACTACATCTCGCTCCTTAGCTTCAAAATAAGGTCTGAAGTGTGATTTCCCTTCGTCTTCCACCTACTACGGAAAAATGCTCATTAAAGTTTACGATCATCTTTGACCGTTACTTCATCTATTTGGTGCGGTAGGAATTCGTTTTTGTTGGTAAGGAAGCTTCTAGTTAACTCTTAGCTTTAGGGGAGACCCGTCAACTACTTAAGATTAATTGTCTTATTTGCGTTAAATTAATTAAGGATACTTTATTTTACTATCCTTGTAAGTTTGGAGCAATGGTTTGATTTCTTCTTTGTTTTTGTTTTTTTTTTTTGGGATTAAACTAGCTAGGTTAGTTCAATGAACTATATACAAGTAATTAATAAAAAAGTGTATCACATCCAAGAATTGTGTGACACATGGTTTAATAGTTTTGCTTAGGAATGAATCATAAAGAAAAAGCATTTGCCATTTTAGAGAGAAAAGAAAGATAGTTGGGATGGATAAAACGTGGGGATCCGAGAGTTGTATTTGGTAAGTTTTTGCGTGTAAAGATCTACTTATTAGAAAGTTAATATCACATGGGATGCTGACCTTGAAATTACAAAGCCTTCATCTTTTCTTTCCCTTGCTTCCCTCATAGGTTTTCAAAAGGCTCTTTTACTTCACGCTACCCCTGCCACCTCTCTCTCTCTCTCTTTCTTTTGTCATTTTCTTCTTTGCTCCAAAGCGCCCCAAGCCAAACTAATTTCCCCCACTATATATGTACACTATCTTACCAAACTTACCTACAAGGAGAATTGATCTGGTATATTTTCTGCTTTTCCATCCAACTCAAAAGCCGAACCACAAGAAGCTCCTTGAAGGAGACTCCAAAGCCTACCTAGCTGCCTATATTGCTTTAGTCTCCAGAGTTGATAGAGAAAAAAACATGAAGGAGCTTGGACCGAAAGGATGGATACATTTTTCACCGATGTAGAAAGGGAGGGCCCAACTTACTTACGTGGTAACACGTGGGTATGACTCAGCAATGGGACTGACAGCCAAGCACCAGTTAAAATGGCGAGAATTTTTGATTGTTTGAGATAGACAGTGTTCTGCTCCAAAAATCTAACCCAACATTTTAGCTTTGTAAGGCAAAAACCAACCATTTCCACCAAACTGCAAATCTTGCAACTGATGCAATGTTCAAGAAAATAAAAATATTGTACAACCAAACAAGAAGGCAGGGTCCCCCAGAATTGAGGTTGACCCCATTCAAATTCGTTTTTTCCTTTCCAACAAAACAAAAAAAGAATACTAGTAATTGAGAATAATTAACTTTAAAGGGGTATGCTGATTAGGGGGTGTTTGTTGTCCCAACTAATGTTAGCATGGGCGGTTAGCAGAATCTGGATGAATGATTAATATTAAGGCAAATCATTCTCACCCACCCATTCCTTTCTTTCCAAATCCGTGGTTCTATTACTACATCTTCATAATTGCATGAGCACCTTTTTTTTAAATAATTAAACCATTATTATTAGCTAAACACATGTCTTGCTCCTACTGGTGATACCAAAGGTTTGATCCTATGGGATCATGTTTAGCTACCCTTATATTCCACTGAATTCCCTGTCTCAGTTTAAACAACATAACCAAATTAATTCTACGCAATTAGATTAATCACACCAAAATAAATTAATTAACGAAATTTTGCTTTTGGAGAATCGCCTAACAGACTAAAAGAATCAAGTGCCGAATTATTTGGCATTATTAATGTTTCACGATCAGCCACTGCCTTCTTCATGTGCTCCGCCTAATCATCTCGATCATGTATAAGAACTATCCAGCAGTTAGAGAGCCAGACAGAGAGAACATGCATTACACCCTCCTCTAACACAAAAGAATGATGCAGTGTCGCAGTGATGATTGGAAGCGTTTATAATTTGACGTAATCTCGTGTATTTTAATATCTTACAAGATACAGTCGTTAAGAACCTTAATATATTTCCCAAAACTATATATTTATTAATTTAAAATGTTATAATATCTTACTAATTAATATGCAGAGAAAAACAAGGTAAGAATGTTAAAACTGCGCAAGTGTTTTATTGGACAGGTTGGGCCAATATTCACAACTGTTGCACCCACTGAAAAGAACAAGATCAGAAGCCGGTGGACCCACACATTTGAAATTGGGGTCTTATAGAGTGAACTTCACCAAATCTCTAATACATGCATTGACAGAACCTTTTTTTTTCTTCTTCTTCGTTTGGTTGAATTGAATAAATTGGCTCTTAGTCAGTGTTTCGTGGCCTCTTCCAAATTGCACATACTGGTCTTGTCCACTTTCCGACGGTGTTTTAAGGGGACAGCATTTTCCTTGAATCGCCTTTGAAGATAACTGATCACGTGAACAACAAAAACAATGATGAACGATGCATGTCGTTATAAACTTGGTAGTAACAGTATATCAAACAAGTTTGGCTTGGACTTTTAGAGTTAAACGTCGCGTGGGCTGTCAAGCATGTGGAAAGATGTCCCTGGTTCATGCTCCCACAAGAGAAGAAACATGCCATGTTTGTTCAAAGCAAGTCCCTTCACGATCCATGTGATGCGTTCGGTAAAGGTCATTTAAGATTTGACTACAACAAACACGTGTAGTGCGATAATTTCTAGTCCCTCATGATATAGCCCTTCCCACGACGCTGTCCCACCCTCCTAGTACTGTGATTTTCTTACAAGCCGCTTGGTTGACTGCAATCAACCAACAAATCTACGTGCTTTAAAACCTGCCACACTTTTAACATACCACGTGAGCTTTTAGCCTTATGCTGACTGCCCTCGGGTGCAATTTGATGAATTCATTGTGGGTTGGGGCGCAGGGATGTGGAACAAGAGAAAAGAGAAGTGGCTACGTAACAAGATACCATACGAAGAACATTATCCTATTCACTGTGCCATGGCAGAGACAACCACCATAACCAAAAGAATGAAGAGAGCTTCAAAACAGAACCTTTCACAAATGCACTAGCTATTGGACGTTTGCTACTGCACATAAGTATACAAGGATTCAGAAAGTTGGACTTCCTCTGACTGCATATACAGACAGGTTCAATGTATCAGCATAAAGGATTTTCATCATTACTTTTAAAGCCCTTAAAATGTTTGATGTAATATAGAATGTTTGTGCTCATTAAGGTATAGTTCTGCAAGAGCAGTATATAGGGCAGCCCCAATTGGAAGGACATCCTCATCAATAAAGAAGTAAGGGGAGTGGGGTGGATGAATTGAGCCAACTCCCTCATTTCTAATTCCAATGGTAAGCATGAATCCAGGGATTAATTCTTGATAGAAGGAAAAGTCCTCTCCTGCCATAACCTTCTTGCCCGTCTTTACATTCTCAGGTCCAAGCAAAAGCCCACCAACCTTCTGAACATGTTGATGCAGGCTATCATCATTAAAAACAGCAGGATAGTGTGGGTATTCTTCTTCTTTCATGTCAATAGAAGCATTACATCTGTGTACGGCTGCTTGTCCTTTTATAACCTACAACAAGTTACAATTACATAATCATCCCAAGCTGAGAAAAAGCAAAAAGGACATCTTTCACTCAGTTCTAAACCAATTGGCAGCAGTCAAGATCTTACAAATTTTAGTTGAATATAATCGAACCTGAAGCAGAGATATGATGGTGGAAAACTAATCTATCAACAAAGCAGCAAACAACCTATAATACTTCCCAGAACACCAATACAGCATGCAAATAGGAAGTAATCTTTTCTTTTTTTGGAAATAAACAGGGAGCAATCTTCGTAGACAAGAAATAATTGGCTTGAAACAGGGAACAAGGAGTTTGTATTCTCAAATTAAGATATCTTGGTTATGGGAATAACATCTAGGCAAGGAAGGAAGGAATGAAGATAAACCAAATGGGTTACAAAAGTATGTCCACTCTATAAAGTAAACAAAACAGATGCAATATGTTAGTAAAACAGTTGCCTTAAAAGGCAGAAAGAGCTAAGGACAGAGGACATGCAAGGATTTTTCTGAATTCAATTGGAAAATCATGACTCATCATGGTATCAATTACTAAAACCAAAAGTAACAAAGGTTAAATAATGCTGTATGCCAGTATACCTCTTTCAACCTTTGTTGGAGTTTATGCAAGCCATCAGTGGTCAGACTCCTCAGAGTGCCCCCAAATTCAACATATGGTGGAATCAAGTTGAATGCAGACCCGCCTCTGATAAAAGTAACAGACAGCACCTTACAGCAAAAAATACATTAGCATTAGGTCGAATTGGATGCTCTATGTTCTTTAGCCACTACACTGGCAATTGTTTGCGCATATCCAAATAAATGATAGATGTCAAATTTGTCAAAGAATAGGCATGGAAGATTCCTGTATAAGGTACTACAAGTCAGAAACAAACTTGACAATGATTTCTAGATAAGAAAAGGGGAACATACTTGACTATGGAGAGGATCAGCTTCTCTAGAGGTTAGCTGTTGCAACGCCAAAATTGCAAAGGATGCAGCAACAATTGGATCTATAGTAGAATGAGGCACTGCAGCATGCCCACCAACTCCTTCTATTTTGGCTTCAAAGAAGCATGTAGCAGCTAAGACTGGTCCTGGAACCAACGCTATGCTTCCTGTGGGACTTCCAGCATCTATGTGCATTCCAAATATTGCTTCAGTATCACCTAGAGCTCCTTCTCTTATCATGTGAGATGCACCAGCACCTCCCTCCTCTGCAGGTTGGAAAAGTAGTCTGACAGTTCCCTTCAGTGGCATATAAAGGAAAAGTTGACATTATATACGTTTAAAAACTGTGAACCAAAATTAAACACCAAAAGTTACATGAGCTAATGAATTGAAATGTTAAACATAGAGTAATTGGTTAAATGTGCACATGATTCTTACAACAAACTGTCCCTTCAATTTTCAGAAGATTTTTAAATTAGCAGTCTTGCAGCATTTAATACGGAGCGTTTATACATATATAGAATTTTACCTGATGTCCGTATGCTCTTATATGTCATATATGTATATATATGTACATGAACTTTAATAGAAAGGGGAATCAACTACTATAATGAGAAGTTGTAAGGAAAATATATTATTGATAGCCAGTTTTCTCTTTTAATTCACTAGTTTAACCATATTTATCAAATGGAACCTGTTTAATATGACGTTGTATCAAAATGAAACTTGCACAATAACATACAAACAACAATAATAAGATGCTGTAAAACATACATGAGATGAAGAAGAGTTTGTAATAATGAATGGGCACAGTATTCGCCATCTTTAGCAAATGGAACTTTTATCAGAAATCATTTTGTAGATCAGCAGATACAAATAAATTCCTTTACCCTGCCTTACCTCTAGGCCGAGGTGATTCAGAAAACTAGCCAAGTATCATGGATGATTCAAAACCTAACTTTTGCTCCATTGTTCCATGGCAGTCAGTAATTGCCTTCAAGGATAATTTACATAACACTGGATGCAACTATGGCTACAGATTTCTTTCCTTTTTCTTTTTTTGGTTTTTTTTTATTCTGATTCATAGACTCAATATCGGTCTGGTGATCAGATTTGAAACGCGGCTTTCCTTTACAATCACAAGAATTTAAGTCAACTAAACATCAAATGAGTTGAGAACATCACTAAACAGTTATTAAGATTCCAAATCAAAGCTAACCTTAAGTCTATCTTTGCGTTGATTAAGCAACTTGGCAGCACCAAGGAGCATGGTAGTGTGAGCGTCGTGTCCACACGCGTGCATTTTGCCATCTATTTTGCTCTTATGTTCCCATTCGACAAGCTCCTACAAAAGCAGAGCCAATGGAAACAATTAAGGCCAATAAAACAAAAGGCATGGTGACTAGCACCGGCATAATTAAGAAAAAGAAGAAAAGGTCAATACAATATAAGGATCACCTGAAGAGGAAGAGCGTCCATGTCAGCACGAAGAGCAACGACGGGTTTAGAACCGGAGCCAATTTGGGCGACAATGCCTGTCCCGGCAATGGGGTATGAATAAGGGATGCCAATTTGGTCGAGTTGTTGGCGAATAAGAGCACTAGTGTTGTGTTCTTGGAAGCAGAGTTCGGGGTTTTCATGGATTTGCCTCCAGATGGAAACCAACCAATGTTTGTCTTGCTGGGCTGAGCTTAAGAGTTGATCTCTGTAATCTTGATCGAGTCTGCCATGAATTACCGAGAGGTAAGCAAGGGAGAAAAGCACAGAGAGAAAAACATGGCCGATCCGAGTAGTGATGGCAGCCATCGAAGTTCTCGATAGGGTTCGGGAAAAACGTTCATTAAATTTGCAGCGCAGCCGGTAAGGTTAAAAATGACTTAAATGAGCATGCCTGATGCGTTGACCACGTGGAAACAAGCTTAACGTTAACAAGCAAGAAATAAAAGATTTTGTGCTTCAGCTTCTACGTAAGAAAAGTCATCTCAAATTGTTTTTCGGAAAGTATTAGTACATATTTGTTTCTTTAAACAAATTGCATAGTGCTGCGTGCTGGCGAAGTTGGCTGACCACGAAATCTCGTAGCTTAAAGATGATCCTACGGCCGTGCCTGTTCTTTCTTTTTGGTCTTCCAATTTCACTATTTTAGGTGCTAGATTTCAACTGCCTCGGACAAAGCCTTTCCAAATTCCGCTCACTTAGCCGATTCTTCTGTTGTGAGAACCTTTCTACCTTTTTGGCCTTTCGAGTAAAATGAAGTCTACCCTCCTCACACCAGACCCAACATTTTTGTTCCAAACTGTTATGCTTATGATTAATGAACACCTGTTTCATTTTCATTTTCTTTTTCTTTTTTATGATAGTTGCAACAGCTATTTGGATCTGTTTAAGAACACTTACCTTGACTTCATATATAGACAACTTGAATTTATCAGCCTTAATCATGGCACAAGCCTTTTAATTATGAGGATAACTTTCAATATTCAGCACAATTCATCTTCTTTGCTCAACGTTCTCAATAATGATATTAATACGTTATTAAAATCAAATCTCTTTTTGATGCATAGGTTCCTTCAAAGATGATCAGTACAGAGCATACTTAAGGATCTGAACTCACGAGAGATCTATGTGTATTCTTCCATAATAATTCCTAAAAAGGAAAAGAGAAGTTTAGAGACTTATGTTGGAGAAAACACTGGATTTTGTTGCTCAAGGGTGTTCTGTCTTTTTAGTTACAAGAGTTTCCCTTTTATAGAGGAAGGGAAATGGTGCTGATAAACTTTCTACAATAAAACGATAGGATTCTAGTACACATACGTTTAACACATATTTACATTATTGTTCAAAAGCAAAGCACACTAAAGTAAAGACACTCTAAAGTAAACACACTGGTACTATAAAGTAAAAAGGCACTCAATACAGCCTTAGTCATAATCTGTGCTAGGGTCTGAGGTGAGATTAAGCTTTTCCATCCTTTGCTTATTCTTTTCTTTCCATATATACATGTGTAAAAACCATTCTTTGCGGTTCGTGTCACAGTGTCCATTGCATATTTCACATGGTGGCTTTATGGAGAGTCGTGCAAGCTTATCCTCATTTATCTCACCATAGTCCTTTTGGTCTTAGGACCATTTATGAGGATCAAGGATTCCTTCATTGTATTCTTTTAATGCTTATTTGATTTGATGCTTATTTGATTTGATCATGATAAGGATCGGGTGTCTCAAGGAAATAATCTAGGACATTTTTGTTTCTAATAAAGGCCAAATATGATCAGGGATGATTTTGTTGTGCTGGTAAATGCGTCTCTGAAATGTCTTGTATTCCTAGTCAAGTTCCCTGATATTGAAAAAGAGTGACTTGTATACCCATGCTGAGTGGAATGCACCAAGCTGGGTGGCCTTTCATGTATCACAAAATATTGTGGTTTGTAAAGGATAAATATGACCATTTCTTTCTTCTTTCCCGCCTCTGATATGACTAGTTCTTTCTAATGTAAAAATGGATAGAGCCATGTGAGAATGTTAATGAAATTCCATTTTCAAGTTTCTATTTCTCTTTTTATCACATTTTTTATGAATTCTAAGAAGTCTGCAATGTGAAATTGGATACCAATGTGATACTTATGAGTTAAGTACCAAAACATCCATTTTAGTTCTTCAAGAAACTTTATGAATTCATAGTAAAAGGGTGGATGAAAGGGCATTTTAGATGAAGACCATAAGGCTTAAGGATAAGACCACCATATTTTTTGAAAACTTCAATTTGATATTCAAAAATCAATTGTTCAATTTTTTGGTGGAATGGTCCTTATTAAACCAATTTGAGTACCTCAGAATGGTAATCAAGGTGAAGATTTGGTGCCACTAGAATAGAGGATGATGAAGATGATCTTGTGATGCAAGTGCCTGGTTTAGGTGTGAACTTGGAAGGTTTTTGTTTGGACATTAAAATTCAAGGATCTTGAGAGGGTATGGATAAGAAGTTTGCAAAGTGATTCTTTTCTCCTTTGATGTGTTTGGTTTTAAAAGAATATTTTGAAAATAATTTTGCCCATCTCAACAGTTGAAGATGAGGGATTATCTTATCTATCTATTTTTATAATTGAAAGAAGGGGGATTCGAACTTTACTCTTTAGGCAGGGGGATCATGCATCAAACAATAAGCTAAATGCTCAAGTACAGGGATTGTCTTATGTTTGAACTTTAACATTTAGGAAAAAGAAAACATATCCATTTTTACTAAAAAGAGGTGTCCAATAAGATGAAATTCAAACTTTGAGATTGCTTTCTTGACTGCAAGGATTTCTTTAAAAGTGGAGTGATAATGCATTTGGGGAGTTGAGAATTTTTCACTTTTGTATGCACATATGTGCCTTTTCCCTTGTTTTTCTTCCAAGAGAACTACTCTTAGTATTTGTCACTAGCATCAATTTGAAGGATTCTTTTGCCATCAAAAGGGATTTTAAGAGGAGCTAAATCTTGTAGCTTTGATTTAAGTTCTTGGATAGCTTTGGTTTGGGAGGATCCCTAACTCGAAGGATTTTTTTTTTAGCATTTTTCCCAAAGGATTAGTATATTTTGAAAGTTTTGAGACAAAATCTTTGAGATAGTTGACGATGTTGAAAACCTGTTGAACTTGTTTCTTTGTGAGGTCTTAGTTTAGAAATTTGAGCAATTCTTGTGAAATGTGAGGATTTAGCTAGTATCTCCCTTGGTTGTTATGCATTCTAAAGAAATCAACTTCAGACTTAAATATTTATATTTTCTTTTCTGAAAGCGTAACCCTATATTTTAAGATCAATTTTGTAAACCGCTAGAAGAGTTGCATATGGACTTATTCATTTGGGCTGAATAAGAGAATATCATCTATATAAATAAAGGCCCAGTCCATGATGGGTTGAAAAATTTTTATCATAGCTTTCTAAAATAGAGATAGAGCTGTTTTAAGCCAAACAAGAAAAAGTCAAGTTGTTTTAACTTCTTTAAGAATCAAAGACGATGATGATTAAGAATGAAAACTCTTTAACTACTTTTCTTAAAGAATATACACACAATTCAATCCCAAAAACCTTCTTTACTCAAACAATTCCAGATGACCAAACTTCTTTATCTTCGACCTCTTATGAAACTTTAGAATCCTCTTCAGATGAAGAATCATACTCTAAAGAAGAATTCTTGCCTGAGCAAAGCAAGCCTTAGTTTATAGCAAGTAGCTCAAGAATAAAAGTTGAAGAAATGGACATAGATGAAGACACTACATCCTCTCATATTCCTAAAATGTCAACAGCATCAATAGTCTTAAAACTGACATTTACCATAGATGACATTCCACCAACCAAATGGGTAGAAAGATTCCCAGAATTCCATGCATGGTTAAAAATTAGGAGATTGTTGGAAGACAATCATTATACTATTCTAAAGGAATTCGTGTCTAGATTCATAGAAACATTGAGAAATTGATGGAACACTATTCCTTAAACAGACCAAATGCAGTTTCTAGTCTCATAAGACTTTAGGCAAGTGGTCCAGATTCTTCATACATACTTTCTTGGAAGCTCTGATGATGTTAAGACCTTATAAAAGAAAGAATTTTTCTAAAGAAAAAGCTGTTCTTTCAAAAAGGCAAATCTTGACAGACATTTCCAAAATATGCTAAAACTGTTTTATGCCCTTGGTGCCCTTACAAGCTAAAAACAAGTTTTTCTTTCCTCAATTTCGGATCTAGTCTAAACAGCAATTACCAGAGCTCTTTAGCAACAAAGGAAAGAAATTTTGTCCTTAACCCTCGAAAAGATACAACAAGAAGTCCATGTTGCCTTTGAAGATATATGTCACACAAAAAATGTAGTTCAAGACTATCTCGCAAGAAACAAAAAGTTAAACAAAGTTTGTGCAAGAATAGAATTGCAAATAAAATATCACGAAGCTCAAAACTGTGATTGCAAGACAAAAAGAAAGAAATATTTCAAAAAATACAAGATGTCTAGAAAATTTCCTCTTCATCACAAATATAAGACTAAGTGAAGATATCTCAAGAATAATTGCCTAGGTAGGAAAACCAAGTTAATAAAGTGTTTTATTTGCAAATAATAAGGACACTTTGACAAACAACATCCCATCAATAAGGAAAAAAGCACAAAGATATTTCAAGAAATCTAGCAAAAAACAAAGTCAATTTGGATGAGGATGACCTAGAATTGATTTTCTCAATCGAAGAAGAACCCAAAGATAAGACTCTATTTGTCATCCAAACTTTCACTCTAGATTCATACACTGAAATAGAAGACTTTTTCATGATATAATCCTAAGATGATCTTTCTTTTTGATTGAAAATCCAAAGTCTTCTTGAACAACCAATACTTTCTATATCAGTTTTTATATACCCCTTAAAATATAGTCAGTTGATTCCAACAATAGCCTTTTTTGATATAAAAATAGCAAAATTAGTGATAAACTCGAAAATATTACCCCTAGGATACTAGATACCTTATGAAAGGCATTTCAAAACTACTTCAAATCAAACTTTTGCCACCTGTCTGATCAGCAAGCCTATTACCATTCAGTTCTTCCCCCAATGCTTCATCACAACCCAAGTGCTCGGATCAGAATTACTCGACAAAGACATTATTGTCGAATTTGACATCTATCATGAATGCCAACATTTAAGGATTCTACTAGATGGGATTAGGTATAAATACTTTTTCAAACCATTTGTACAAATCTCAAAGCTATATTTTTTTAGCAACCAGATGAACAAGGCCAGATGATAGTCGAGCTGCTCAAGGAAAAAACATGTGCTAATTTTCACTTAGAGTTTCATCTCAAATGCAACAATCCTTTATAAAAGAACTCAGAACTCTTTTTTAAGCTACCATTCAAGCTTAATGAAGATATTAACCCTACCAAAGTGAGCCATTCAGGTATGAATCCAGACCATTAAAAGTTAGTTGAAGAAAAATGCAAGGAATTGCTACAGTAAGGCTTAATTGAGTCTTTGAACTCCCAATGGGCATGCCAAGCCTTTTATGTCAACAAGAGAACAGAACAACTTAGGGGCAAACTAAGATTGGTCATCAATTCCTAGCCCCTCAATCATTTTCTCGTTGATGACAAATTTTCTTTACCTAACAGAAACTCGATCTTCTCAACTCTTGCTTATGTAAGAATCTTCTCAAAATTTGACC